TTTACAGAGAACAATGCATTTTCCCAGAAAAAAATGAGCCAGAAATTGTTTTGCCAAAGCCTATACATATCGCCAATGTAATAACCAATCGTACTGAAAAATCAATGGTTTACAAATCTTTTCCAGTCGGAAATGTTCTGCTGTCTGATTTTTAAGCCGGTTACAAGTAAAAGATGGTGTTTTAAGGTTCTTTCATTGCTGACTTCAACGTGAAATGACTGTTATACAATCACATTTATTCTTGGCTCCAATGTTTCCCATGTACTAATGATCTTGGCAAAAAAGCCAATGAAAATTTCAGTACCGTGTGCTCTGCCTCATGAATTACGAGAAAACTCAACAGGGTTGGCTACAAAAAACCTCATCATTTTAACTCGTCCCAAATTGAAAGCTGTAATTGGCCTAAAACTCCAGCATTTTACTATCTTTGAATGCAAACTGTCCCTCCTTGCCGCATACACAACTCCGAAATGTGATTAAACTCCTTGTTTTTACAGGATGCTATATATTTACAATGACTCTGATGATAGGACTCTAATGAACTCATTTGCTTGTTCCGTTAATTACATTTACGCTGAGATGATACAGTCATTATCATCTGGTTATACCAATGATCTGAATGAACGCAAACTCTAAACCATGCTAAGAACGGAATGCATGATACAATAAGGATTGCACATAACCATGTATGAAAACCAAACATTGGCACTGGACTTTTCTTGTGGTAAAGTCAAAACTTGTCTCAAGAAAATGTGCCAGCTGAGATACAGATGTAACTGTCTACTTCGTACTGGAGGTTTTCTCCTTCAACTTCAGTCATCCAAAGACACCATCAATCTCTGATCGTTATAGTCATGCAATCCGCCAAAATGTACTTCAGTTAGCTGGACGGCTATCAACATGTTAAACTCGGGATTCATGTTAGCAACTTTCTGGGGTCACAAAAACACTAAACTACACGTAACTGATGCAGAGACGAGACCCAACACTACAGTACAACAGATGGCGAGCAAAGACAATACAGCACTGAAGACAATAGACTGGCAACCCAGTCCTCACACAACACTAAAACCGGACAACTTACTAATGCTAAGAATAGAATCTGCTTTAATTTCTTGCAGATGTATGGAAAATCTTAAGATTCCCTCAGTATATTACAATAAGAAAAATATATCCTTACTCTGCAAAAATAACCCTGGCTACTTGTAAACCAGATGCATGATTAAGCTAACTCTCTGAACCACATCGGCACAGCAAATCCATGCAAAGAACAGAATCCCATCTCTACCAGGAGACATCATTTTCTTTCAACTTGTTAATCTTCTATGATCACTTTCAGGCATTCTATTCATTTCAAACCACCATCCATGCCAAAGGAAAACTGACAGCAGGAAGGAGGTGGGTTAACAGAAGGTGGGGGTTTTTAGTACAACGCTGCTGTGGGGACTTGGGACGGTAGGGATTTGATTGGAGTCTGTGGGTGTTCATAGGCGGCAGGATATGTGTTCAGTTATCTCTTTTCTTGATACTTAAAGAACCCTTCTCCAAAAGCGAACAGAATTTATCGGAAGAAATCCCCTCAAATTGAATAACTTTCCTCCACTTGCACAATGCCACATAAAAATGAACGAGCAGGCAAAAGAAAAGTGAACATACAAAGTTTCATCCATGTTTATGACCAGATATGCGAAGTGCCTGATAAACTGTGAACACATGATGCTTGGCTTCTCATTTTCAGCGCAAAAATTACTTCAGTCTCCAGAAAAAGACTTAAAAATATTTGTTCTTTCCAATTTAGGTCATGTTTTGAATGGCTATGCACACATCATGAAATTGAACAAATGCTTTTTATTGTATCGAGTGACAGCGGAGGAATCAACTCATTTGGGGCACTGAAAGACATTCCAGTCCATTTGTGACACAAAACTGGAAGCAATGGATTCTTTTGTAAGATGTTGTGACGTTTCTTAAGGGGGAATTTTTGGAGCAACTCTCTTCTAAACATTTGTCGTGACTTCTGTTTTCTTGTTAAACAGGAAGGGTGGGGAAAGGAGGACAAGGGCAGGAAATCTTGGAGGGCAACAAAACAATAACAAAAAATGTGAACTCGGGATTAATGGGTAAAAGTGAACTCTGTGAATGCCGACTCTAGAGCAGTGTGAGTTTTTATTTCAAAAGACTGATGGAGATGAGTGAAGTCAAAATGACACAGGCTCAGCAGGGTGAGCATGCAACAAAGCAGGGCATGTACAAAAAAATACCAGAACAATACAAAACAAAACCAAACCATCTCACACAGAGACAAATATGAAAACAGCGGGCCAGAAACACAGGAAGTAAAGTTTGAGCTGGAATGTCTGGGTGCCTTCATCCCTAATTGAATTGAGGCAGTATGAGACAACCACAACTCAGAGCTATGTGAATGTACATGTATCTCGCCATACGGAAGGAAGGAAGGAAACCAAGTGAGACATCCATGTTTGTATCAATACTTCTAAAAAAAGCCCATGTTTATGTACGTACAAAGATGTTTTCAGCGTTGCTTTTTCCATATCTCAAGTACTATTCCACTAAAGCACGTTATCAATGCTGCCTCAATCAAACATGCAACATCAGTAAAACGGCACTTTCGTTTTGTTGCGTGCAAACAATGCACCTACATGTATCATACAAAGGTGTACTGCATACTATTTGTCAAATTGTCTCTAGAATCAATTAAGTGTGGGAATAAATCAAAGTCTGTAGCGCGTTTTTGAGTATGTTCTTCACAGTCCGTTTTCATCTCATTTTGGTGTGTTCTGTGACCTGTGCGTGTAAGTCAAGATGTCCGCGCTGTGGACAGCTTCAAAATCTTCTGCAAGGGGACTGAAGAGTTTAGCACTCTGGTAATTCAATAAGGATCCATGGAGTGAATCATGTTATCTTTGTATATACATGCACTGCCACCGAGGGATCAATCTGTAAATTCGTCTATCCACCTGCTGGCAATTTTACATGTTTCATCTCAGTTTCTACTCTTGCCCAAATAGGAAAAAGACAGAGAGTGTTGTAAGACATCCCCTCAGAGTTTAATTTCACCGAAAGCTGTTGCTGAAGGACTTAAAATGTCTGGCCCGTGGTTGTTTCATTCCCAAAGGGATTGGCATTTTCTTTTATTGCAGTGAACTCTCAGACTTTTCATCACTGATGTGGATATTATTTTTGCACATGAAATTCTGTCAGCCGGAAACTTGCTGAAATTGATCAGTATGAAATATTCAATTGTGAATAACACTGGCACGTTCTTCGGAAATACACGCTTCATTTTGTTTCATGATAACTTATTTTTTCTGACTCCCCCCATCCATAAAAGAAACAGTTTTTCTTTTTTTTTCTTTTTTTTGAAAGGTCAGCTTTTAAAGGGCAAAACTGCGGCACCATTCATGTAAAACTGCAGCACAATGAACACTTCCACACACTTCACTGCACAATCTCTCAGATCATCTTTAAACAGCTCCCGGCCATATTTGGTAATGCATATTTTTCTGACATCACAGGCACTATCCCACAGCAACGCTGGGGGAAAAAAAATGCTAGCCTGGTGGACATACACAACAGGGACTGCCCAAGACTGTACCATGTACGGTACACGCCCCTCATGGCCCATTGCAGGCATACCACTGGGACATATCTGGCATTCTGACCACAGATTAGCATACACACGTCAGGAATGTCTGGCCCTGATTTCTTTTAAAACTTGCAACTTAAAGGGGCTGTATCACAGGTTAAGACATACTGTGACCAATGGAACAGGTACAGAGAAAATAAAAAACATTGACACTGCAAGAAGCAAGCACTGAAAAACCAGGGACAAAACATATATGGACCGCTGACAAAATGAATAAAAACAAGCAAGCATACGAACAGGTGCAGATATCATTTCCACTCCATTAAATTGTGCCAGATTAGTAAGTTTATGACAGGAAAGCTGCATGTTGAAAACAATGGGTGTCAGGCAAGAAATTAACAAAAGCTGGACACAAAACCCCAAAAGTTCAGCTGACAGTTAACATGTTAAACTTTTCCTGAGAAAGAAGAATGTTGGTTATAAAGCAACGGAATAGATTGGCAAATTGAATTTGGGTGAAATGTAAGAGATGTAGAATAAAAAAACAACTTGGCAATAAAGAGGTGTAGTTTAAGGGGGGGCATTTGAATAAGAAAACTCTGGTTAAATACTGAAGATACATACATTCATACTTGTGGGTCCAAGAACACAGTAGAAAACGTGCTCTTTTGTGTTAATATGATTTGAAACCAACCCACTTTTGGCTACAGAGACTCAAGGTAGTTTTACACCTGCAAAAACCAGAGGTAAAACCAACCCAGATTTTTGTCTTTGACATTTCAAGCCATAAATGCTTTCTCGTCATTTTAGATTCAACTGGGTTAGTTCGCTGAAACAAAAGGCTTTATTCAAACAGAACCTGATAGCAAGTGAATTGTACGGACTCATTTTATACTGTGTTCATGTAAGAGAAACCCAAGAGACATGGCTGGTGGTTGTTTTGTTTTTTTTCTTTCCCCTGCGCACACTCAGTGCCGATAAAAAAGAATCTACACCTAACACACACAACTTATTTCCAAATTTCCATTTTTTTCCTAAAAATACTAACACCTGAATCACTGCATATACATGAAAAGGAGCTTCCAGGATTGTTCACTAGCACTATGGTTTCTAACATTTACAACACGATAAACAACTACATACCAAAAATCTCCACACAACATTCTACTCGGACAAAAGTTACCGAAACAACAACTGTTACATGTACCTCACCTGAACAGTGACAACAAAACCTACATTGGTACCTGAGCATTATGGGTTCAATATCCCGACAATGAATCTCATCATCTCCTGATGCTTTGCTAGCATATAGAAACCCTGCTTATCCTACGCCTAGGGAACGACGGGCAGTGAATCTACCCACGGCACGCTCTGCCGGGAGCGCGACACTCACCTTCGGCGCTCTCCAGCTGGACTTGCAGAGTTTTGAATGACCGGTTAGTGAACTCCTCTTGGTTTGCCAACTGAGGTCAGAGAGAAAGACAGACGAGGGGAGGAGAAGAAAAAAAACAAGATTCAGAAGACAGAGAAAAGTTAACGACAATTTTTTGGGATGAGCTGGGGAAATCCCAGAGTTAACTCAGAGAGAAGCCCACACAGTCAGTTGACACAGACAGCTTAACCCAAGCAGTTCAGCAGGTGCCAAAGTTGATGTGTAACCTCAATGACAAAGAAACAGGCTGTTGGGAAGTTCTAAGTGGGGCTCATGTAAGCATGTGTACGATGTGTTTGTTAGTATAATTGCGCAGTATTTCAGCAGAGAAATTTAACTTGGAGGCTAGGCATGGACTTAAAATTTTGAGTGAAACACAAGTGGTCTTTGACTCTAACATGAGGTAAACTTTGTTGGAATGTTACACTGTATTTTGATTTTCTGCTGACATAGGTACACTTGTGAAAACTGAATAACTTGCTCAGAAGTCTTATTAATTCACGTGGACATTCTGAGTCCTCACCGACAGTCATTTTTACATCAGCTGCACGTGGGACCTAGGCATACAGGGTCAGAACTTACGGCCTCCTTTTCAGCGGTCAGCTCCTGTACTCTGACAAGCAGTTGCTCCTCTGCATCAGAGGCCTTCTCGTATCGAGCTTCGGCCGACTTGTGGGCGGCCTGCAAGTTGCTGACCTGTTCTGTTAATTCGACGAGCTTACTGCAGAGAGACCAGGGGAGAAAGTCTGGGTAAGCATTTGATAAAAGATGACAAGAGGCCGAGGGACAGACAACCTAACGGAGACAAGAACACAGGAACTACGCTGTCAAGTATAAGTGTAGGTATTCAAAGCAGATGGACAGTTTGTTTGACCACTCTTTTTGTTTAACTTCACGCACCACGTGAAACAACAATGCTGAATCTTCGGGGACCCTTTAAGGACAAGGCAGATTTTAAAGAAAAGGGACAACATTAAGCAGTTAACGGGTCATCAGCTGGCAGAAGCGAAAGAAAATATTCAAATAGCACCAGTTTATTTACTTGCCAACGGTTTTATTCCACACCGCATTTGTCCCCCATGTAGTATTATTTTCAGCCAAAAAATACCAACAAAAATGACAGACAAACAATCCTTCACAAAGTCGGACTATACAAATGTTAAACCCTGGTGATCATTTGCTCAAGATTTGGGCGCCATTTCCCACAGTGTCATTGCTTCTAAATGATGCCATGGAGCAATATTTGCTGGAGCGGCCGGCCATGGGCCAAAGTCACTGAAGGCTTTTAAACATCTCCGCTGCATTTCAACACAGGGAATACCGAGGCCTTAAGACAATATGAAGTGGTTACGGAAAACGGTAACCAGCCAGAAAACAAAGTGTTTTGGGATGGCTTTCCAAATTTCATTGAACTGTGAATAAAGCAATCCTTGTATTTCAAGGGACACTTTCTCTGCCAGGTTTTATAACTTACCAATCTAAGTCCTTGCAACGCTCATCTGAACGCTCCAAATCTTGCTCTGTAACAGTGAGTTTCCTAAAAACCTTTTCCCACAAAAAAAAGAAAGAAGATGAGATTACCAAACAACTACACACCCACCATCAGCCTTATATAAATTGCAACAACGCACATTCACAAAGGTCAACAACGCATTAGCAACAACCTGCCAGCAAGGCACATAGAATGCAAAGCAGTACAACTGTCACCCTTATGACAGACAGAACCAACGTTTGGAGAGGGCGCTAGTGCTTAATAACTCATGGAACGTGCAAACATGTGCTCAATCAAAATTTTCCCCCAAAATGTCCAGGATTAACTCTGAATTCTTTCACCATTGAAAACACTGCCAATGATTTGACATTGCACTTTTTAATGCCTTTTATACCAAATAGTGCAACAGACAACTGAAACGAAATGACCAAACAGTATTGACCGGTAACTATACAGACATGTACTGGAACAGTAAATAAGCACGTGCACATTAACATAAAGTATGCAAATCTATACACACAATAGGAAAAAAAATAATAAAAACCACAACATTTAAAGGTAGAGTCTATCATTTGCAACTTGAGTGACAAAAGTTTACTCGAAAATCACTCTGTTTGAAGATGTTAGGGGACTACATTCCACATTACTGTAGATAATCTCTAATACGCAAAACAAAACTTTGCTTATTTTTGACGTCATCATGATGTCACAAAAGAAAGTATCTACTACATTGTCTCTCAAATGCCCCGCAAAAATAATTTTCATTTCAACAAGCAGAATAAATAATGAAAAATGAAATAATTAATAAAAATTAAGTGATGATGTCATCATGAGGTCATGCTAAGTTTCATCAATTTAAAGATGAACACAAATTTATATCTCAATTGGACTTGTAATTTTGAAGTTAGGCCCCCCCCCGTTCTGCTTCCGATTACATGCCTCTCAAAAATAGGGTCGGTAGATTGGAACTTTGGGGTGGTTCAAATTTTTGTGCTGAAAAATTGTCTCAAAACGTGATAAAAACATGCCTTAATCTATGTAAAAATGTCTACAGTCGACAATCCACAAGAATTATGGACAATTAACACAGTGCTATTCAGGCAATCACGACAGCAAACTGGCCAACAACGTCCATGTATCGCGTGGTAAGCATGATGATGCATCAAGACATCTTTTCAAAAATAGCGAATGTAAGTATGAAAACATATAAAAACAAGCATTTTAACGTGAGAAAGGGTTGTTGAAAGGTGTTTTGTGAAGACAGAAAAGACATCAGGATTAATTTTTTAAATTTTCTTTATTTTGTTAAATTTGTTTTCTAACTCACCGCTGAAAGTTTTTAGGTCGTGCCAATAAATTAGGGTCAGTAGGGAAACCGGAAGCAGAAGTATTTTGGGAGGCCTTACTGACCTAAGAATTGACCAATAATGACTTATAACTTGTGAAGATGGCATTATGACATCAATGTTCGGTTCACATCTTCGGCCTAAGGTTTTTACATGTACTTGGTGAAGTTTGATCAAGTTTGAAGATTTAAAAGTGGCTGAAATGCCATCGAGCAAAGTCACATGTACAAAATCTATGGGATTCGGGGGGAGACAAAATTGGAAAAAGAAAAAACCCATAAGATCTTGAAAAAAACAATGGCTTCCCTGCAGCTTGCAGAAAAGCCAATGGCAAATGATGGACTCCACATGGACTGTACATCTACATGTGCAAAACAGGTTGAGGGATTTTAATATTTGGACAAAATATTTGGAACAGATCAGCCTTGGCCACCAGGCACTTTTCTTGAATCTGCCAACTCCAACCACTCAAAATCAGTCCAAATCCAACCCAGAGCCAATAGCTCTACTGAAAGACCTAACTGACATCTGAAGTTTTTCATCCCAACCCTGTTTTCATATCAAGTACACAATGCTTCGACATATAATTCTCCAGAACCCGTGCTGAAAATCAGGAGTTAGACTTTGGCAGATAATGGCATCAAAGCATATACAATATCCGAATGATATCCGTACCAAAATATCAGCCCGAATCTGTTGCACATTACGTTACCTCATCGTACAAAAATTTATTGTGGTCAGCTGCAGCTTTCTCTTTAAGAAGCTCCTTCTCCAGATGTGCGATCTTTTTTTACATTTTTAAGTTGATGTCCACACATGAAAGCGATGGCAAGGAACAAGGAAATGTCCCCCCCCCCGCAAAAGGGGGGAAAACAAAACAGACACAAGGTTAATACAAGTGAGAATTTAAAAAAGGCAGAGGTTTTGGGGGTTTTGTACCTCATCGTATTTACGGTCAGACTCTTCGGCCGCCTCTTTGTACGATCGCACTTTTGTCTCAAGTTCATTGATCTGGACGGTGGGTGGGGGAAGGAGGGCAGGGGTGTGTCCGTTTTGGCAGGCAGTTGGAGTTCGACCGGGTAGTAACAGATTTGAGCCCGAGCAGACGACAGAGTCCCCATTCATGGCGAGGATAGGAGTCGTCCAGGAAAGTGAGCATCCAACATGGCAGGAATGATGCAAAGGAAGGAGGTGAACAATCAAACAGTTGGGAGAATGGAAGTTGGAATTGAAAAGGAAAAGAAAAACATAAAAAGATGAAATCAAAAGCAGCAGTAATATACTGACAGAAAAGGAAAATTACATTTCAACAATACTGTCAAGGAAAATCAGGAAAGCATAAAACAGAAAAGCAAGACGACTTCATCAAAAAGGAAAAGTGAAATGACCTTTGACCTGCTGCACACCATTTGTTACATAATGACCATTCATAGGCAAAATTTCAAAGGGAGCTAGGCGTGCTGACGCTTTAGTGTTAAATAATATTTTTCAATGCTCTTAGTAGTGTATCTTTCCTTTCAGTTTCATTCCAGGCTTAAACATTCCAAACGTGATATCTTTAATCACTTTTAAATTATTCAACACTGCTACTTGTAATTTTTCAAGCTTTTCCCATTACTAGCTTTTTTTTAGACTTTCCAATAAATGTTCTACTATGGCAAAAACCTGTTTACTCCAGAGAATTCATCAATTTCTTTCTCTTCCAATTCTGACCTGTGCTCCCTTTCTATGGTGCCATATCACATTCATGCAGCACATTCAATAAAGCAAGACAGACCTAAATGACCTAAAGGTACACGTAGCAACAAGGAAAGAGACGAAGTAATCAAAGATTTACACCTGTCTTGACCGCTCCATTGATACAATCAAAAGGTGGACCAAATTACTGAAAACTGTACATGCGCCAATGTACAATTTTAGGCCACGTTGTGGGCATCAGTCCTGACAATTAGGTAACTCCATTTCAGAGGGTGTGTCTACTGGGAATTATACTGATCGCACTTAAAGTATTTGTTTACAGGAGATATATTTTTGGAAAATGGTAAAATATTAAAATTGTATATCACTGTAGTTACAAGTAATGTACTCTTGGACTGACAGCAACCGGGTGAATCTTACCCACGGGTCTAAATTTTACTGCTGTGGCTAAATGCTTTTCTAGACAAACTGTTAGTCTTAATGGTACAGCACACGAGAAAAAGAAAATGGAATAAGATGTCTTTTGCCTCCTTTCACTAGGCGACAGTCATCAAAACCAAAAAGTGCAATGAAACATGAATAAATACTTTTCTTAAAACAGGTCTAATATCTGTGTGATATCAATATTCAATGGCATTCAAAAGTTTTGGCATTGCAACTGTCTATTTTTGTACATGATCCAATCCAATTATCTAGCAGATTATTCTACGAAAACTGTGACCTTATTGAAGCTCTGGCCCCGTTTGAATTCAAGGCCACGGATCAGCCAAAATTCACCTTTGAAAATCTCGGTGACTGTAATTTTTGGATAAGTAGTCTCAACTCCAAATGCACTGCGTCTAAGGTGAAAAAGGAGACTTTCCTTGTTTAAGTGGATTGGAAAAATTGGCGTTTCATTGTTTGACAGCCTTTCCACAGGTACAAACCTTGTCATCATCAGCCATGCCCCTAGTTTCAAGTGCCTTGGTTGCCCTGAACAAGGAAAGGAAAAAAAAGAGAGAACAAGAGAAGAGGAAACCTCATTAAACACTCTACACCATAATAGACTACACTGACGAACTGAGACAAAAAAAACCACTAACATTCCTCTGTACGTTACAAAAGGAAAAGGTAATTTTATAAACAGAGACATGAAAAAGGAACTGGTTCTTGTCTTTATGATACATTCATTCACCAAACACGCACGTACACATATGGCACGTACATGTGTGTACACGTACATTTACATTTCACAGTTTTATTTCCTGTCGCAATTTTGGCATTATTTCCCTTTTGAAATACCTCATGCTTGTATTGATCCAGAAATGATCACACATAGTGCTGGAATTTACACTACTTTGATAAACAACAGGTGTCAGTTACTCAGGCCACAGTTGATAGTGAAACAGGATCATTATTATAATAAATTCATGGGTTATGCCTGGAGAAGGTAGCCATGACTACCTGCTCCTGCAGTCTGTGACTAATATAGGAATAATTATAGATTCACAAGAGTCCATGCATATGTCTGGACACAAGCACATGAGACAGAATCAATGGATAGGAATCACACACTGCTCGTCAATTAAGGGTAATAAATGTACCCTATCTTCACAAAGAAGCCATACACTATGGCCCCATAATTCGTGTACTCTCCACGATGGTGCTGGTGTGTACATACCGTACATGTATGCACGGTACATGTGCTTGTGACTGTACACAATATGAGCACTTGATTTCACAGAGATTTAATCCAGCCAAAGAGAATAGTCATTCACAACAGTAAGTGTACAAATACTGCACCTTCACACTGCTCTGGCTGTCTACTACATAAACCTATGCATACCGTTCATTATGTAAACATACACACACACCCAAAGCCCGAGTAGCAGCCAGGGCAACATGTAATTTATTGCACGCACATGATAGGTTGGGTTTACATGTCCAATACACACTGTAATAACATTACCATACAGGCTCCCAATATGGCATGTACAATGCATCAGCCTATTTACTGTTGCACTCGTAATGTACACGTATGATAACATGGGCGTGTTCATTTCAGTTTCAATGTGAAAGTACAGGCACACATTTACATGTAGTAATACAAGTTTCACAGCTCAGCGTGCATACCTGCCTGAAGGTGTCTCCATAATGTATGATACACACACATATATCCATGGGGGTAATACGACCTGCTCTTCAATTCATGTACATGTACATGTACATGTAGCTGTCAATTTTTTTATATTTTTGTTGACAGACTTTGCTTCATACTTCAAGCAACCACAAAATTGTGGTAAATTTGACAACATTTATTTAGTTGAAATGTGATGAACTTCTGCAAAGCCGCAATGTTACTATTGATATGAAGTCATGATTTTGCATTCATGTCCATGTCTGGTACCTGCAGTACATATACAATGTATAGGTAGTACATGAACCGGCCTTGAGGCCAACAGATACAAATTGATCTAGAAAATGTCTTTGTTCCGACTTATGATGGCTGGCAAAGAACACTGGCCAGAAAAGAACACTGGCAAAAAGCTATATGATTGCATTGACCTCTACCCTCAACCCAAGATAAATTTGAACCAAATTTGTCATCAGGCACATTCAATTTTTCTTGACAGACAGAAGAGGACTTTCAAGATGGATTATATGTTGATTTGGCAGTAATAAGATTTTTATGATTTGAATACAGGAAGCATGGCTTTACATGTACGTAGTCGTACATGTTACGGTATCTTTCCACCTCCTCTGTAGCAGTAAGAGGGAGAAATTTCAGTGTGTTGAATATTCAGTTTATGCTAATAGCATTTCCAGATTTATGAGCCAAATATGATGTCATTCAAGGTACAAGTAGAACGGGAGTGTCCTTGCAGCTTTGAGTACATGTACAATATAATGTACTGTACATGTATATACTGGTAGTGTCTCACATTTTCCACGTTTGGAGTAAGTTCCACTTTATGCTTGGTTTTCATTTCAGACAGAAAGTGCCCCTGCTTGATGCTCCATGTCCTCCGTAAACAAGTACAAAATGTAAGTTTGTTATTCATGGCAAGCAATTAAATTTTATGTGGTGTTGACATTCTATATGGTCTTAGAAATGCACGTACATGAACATACCCTGTTTGGTCAAGGACCATTGTTTGACAGCAAGGAAATATCAGGGTTATGTTGTTGTTTCTCTCTTTTTTTCACAATTTCACTTTTATTTTTGGACGACAGTTACTTTCAACAATGAAGTGTGGGTTCCTTCAATTTGTCTGTCCAAGAATGTGGCTTTTAAGCAGTATCATTCCGATTGTTAGCTCACGTACACATGTACATGTACGGTACCAGCAACATTACTTATTCATAAAAGCAGTCTTGAGGAGTTACCTGGTAATCCCATAACCTTCACCTGAATGATTCTGTACAGGAGGCCAGGCTTATTCAGCCTCCCCACAAACTAAAACGTGAAGGACACTGAACAACACCATGTAAGGTTCCCTGATTTGATGAGGAGAGTTACAATAAATGGCAAGGACAGGAAAAAAGTTCTGCAAGCCCCTAGCCCTCCATGGCAACTCCCAATCCATAACAGACACCAATCACAATATAATGCTGACAAGTGATAGTTCAAATGAATGGAAACAGAAGCGGAACATCACATTTATGTAGCTGAAATGAAGGTCGTTATTGTCCAGTACATATGGATTTTTTTTTAAAAACAGACAAAATCGGACTGGTTGTTATTGTCGTTGTCACACAACACACAGAGACTATTTAAGCAATCTGACCACAGCAAGGCCACAAAAATATTTCAGACATGAGTCCAACCCCCCCCAAAAAACCACAAGCCACACACCAACTCCTGGCCAGACTCTTATCAGACAAGGGAAATACTTTCCTGTTGGGCTTGAATGAACCGGGCATCCAAGAAATTCCGGGCTACAGTCAGCTTCGTGGATTCCACACACTTCCTGGCACCCTACATGTACATTACCACTTTTTGGCCCCCCATCTCCCACGCTTGGACATCCGTGATGTATGCACAGGTCACTCAACTATAACTAACCAAGGAATGAGATTAATAGACATGCCATCCCAGTCCATATTCTGTTTTTTATTCACCAAAAATCCCCTCCCCTTTTTTTCCCAATGAGGGTCAACGCTCAATACACATACCAATTTGTGGTGTCAGTGTCACAAATGAGTTAACACCTTCAGCAGTGACCACAGCTGTGGCCTGGAGATTCCCACACTGCCAAATGTCTCATATTCTTGCCTCCCGGGCCCTTTTGTTCCAGTCTCAAATATGAGCCCAGTGGTCCTGTGTTTGCTAAGTATCAAGCAGGTCGGCCTCAGTTTGATTTCACATTCCGGTTATCATAGTCAGGGTTGTACATACCGATATGTACCGAAACAGGTTGCTGAACGAGGTGTGCTGATCCTGCTTGTGTCACAAATGAGTACACAGGATCCAAGAACATGCAGGCGCAAACAGCTTTGACCTTCTGGTCAGTTATTTTTTGTCTCCTTGGTTCAGTAGAAATCTCTCTGAGATCTTCACTGTTCTCGTGCTAGGTACATCTTTGTGTATACATATGTACATGTACAAAGTCCCTGTGAACCCGTGAACTCTGACACTCCCCACCTCTACTCCATATAATACCTAGCTGTCTAATAAACAGTGCCACTTTTGTTCCCTTACAGAACCAATAAATCAAACTGGGTACTACACAGAACCATACAGACTGATGTACATGTACATATGTACATGTACTGTAGACTGCTAAAATACATACATGTACAACCAAAGCGCTTTTGTGATGCAAAACCACAAACCACAAAATGCCACTCCAGTTCAGGATAAAAAGAGGTCAAATTGAGCAAGTCCTACAGAAAGGGCACTAGCGTATGCCGTACATGCCATTAATTCTACAACAACAACAAGTCCTACCATATGTGTATTTTCCTGGAAATAAATGTATATATGGTATGCCGCAATGTGAATTCTATGACCTTGTCCTCTCCACTGCTGCTAATGAGACCCACCTTGGGATTTCCCAGTGATAAAACTAATTTGAAGTATCCTTCCATTCCAGAGAAAGATTTGATGTGTCTCAGCCATCACTTTATCGTTACCGGTGCATGTAAATAAAGACAGTTTATCATGACTTAAAATCTGATTGATGACGAACCCTCATCAAATTTAACAACATTCTGGGTTTAAAAGTCTTTGCATAATCATCAGGATGCACATGCGGTTATAAAATGAGTGCGAAAATCACCCCCTCCAGACAAATCCTTCCTTTCTTGCACTGTGGAATTTTGCAGGTGATCCCTTGGTCAACTGTACACATCCCCAAGACACCATGGAGAATCAAATTATGCAAACTAGCCAAGACATTGCAAGGGTGCATGCAATCAGGAGATGGCCTGTTATGTACGCTACAGGAACAGCAACCCTAACTAAATAACCCTGACATTTACCGACATTATTGCGCGTTAAAGGCACGGACGAAAAATTGTGCGCCCGAGTTCAACACAGATTCAACGATGTTGGCTCAGGTTCAGTGCGTACTGGTAGCATGATCTTGAGATCTAAACTATTTTTGCTATGCAAGGCAAAAACATAAAAAAAAGGAAGGCAGCAGTAGGAACATATGTCTCCAAAGCAAAATTCCCCCCCCCCAGACTATAATGACACAGTGCATGAAGCATATCAACTAGGGCAAGTAAACCATAAGCAACGACTCCATTCATATCTAATCTCACTGCAGTTAAGCCATTCCTGTCCTAAGAGGAAGGCCAAGCCACAATAGCAAAGTAAATGGACAGGTGAGTTCAAAGTCTGGTCTGCAAATGCATATTTAAATTGTAAAGTACATGCCACATGGGGCACAACAGGAAATTCCAGTGAGTTGATTTTCTGTGACCCTGTCTGGGGCACTGAAGCTTTGCTGTTTTGAGTTAGAAGTTCTAGCAATGTTATGCAGGCT